CTGGATCACAAATTTTAGATTTGTTTTTGTTCTCCAGATGTTACTATCCAACTCCTATTTAGAATTGCTCGGTGGTTCTGAAAATCTAGTTAATTCTTTTTTCTATGGATGCGTTCTCGAGATATTTGCAATTTACCGTTATTCAGCTTAAAAAAAGTGATTCCACTTAATCACGGTATATCTTACGTAACTGACCGTAATTGAACAATCGCAATGAAAGCCAATGAAATTCTCCATAAACCGGGTATAAATCACTTTCTGATAAGCCTGATAGTTTCTGAGAAATTAATTAATAACTCCAAATTTTTTTTTTTTTTTTTTTTATGAAAAATTGAAAAAATTCAAACTTTAACAGGGAACAAGTAATTTTTTAAGCAAAAAATAAAACCGACTTCAATTCTCATATAAAAATTTAAGATTATCGTTGATTTATTCACCATCCAATTATCGCATCTAAACCAAATTGGTATGGGATCTCTCCTGAGGTACCACCTTCCCGATGAAAATTATCGAAATCGGTTAACGTGATCCAAAAATATATGGTTTTTTAAGCTGTATAACAGTAAATTGCAAATATTTATCTCGAAAACGTATCCACAGAAAAAAGAATTAACTCCATTTTCGGATTCAACCAACAATTCTGCATAGGTATGTATAGGATAGTGGCATCCATAGAACATATATGCTGTAAACCAGTGTAATTTGGGAAAGTACCATATTTCATATTCATATGAAACCGCTGTATATGCCGTTTAAGAAAACAGTTCCATTTGGACTAAACTACTTCTATGAGATAAAATTTAAACACCATCCATTTATTTACCTTCCTTTTATTATACTTTGCACTCCCTCTTACTAAAAATTTTAATTTTTGGTTTTATGTTAAGTACTCTGTTGTTTTGCTGTTATTGGCATTGTTACTTTTACTTTAAGTGCTAGTGAAAACAATGAAAGCACCAAAACGCCATAGAGTAACTTTTACGATAGGTGAGGTAAGCGAATTTTATGAACGAAATAAAATGAACACCGAAGAATAAAGTTTTGTATACACGTGTAACCATGCAGTCTACTTTGAAAGAGAAGTAGCCTTTCCATTGAGGTAGATACATACTCGTACAGGCAAAGACAAAAGTATTCTTGACAAGAAACGTTTGAATCAAAAATAATGTCCTCTTGACATTGTCGATAGACGATATGAGGGGATAAATATTTCGTCCGACATTTAAAATCATAAATACTCGAAGGATGAAAAAATTCTTTAAGGAGACTGGCTTTCTGAAGTATGTACTTGTATAATATTAAGAATAAATTGTAACAAACTCTATAAACCTTTTACCTACGGACTGCCGAAAGCCCTTGTTGCCAGCGCTATTGATATTTTTTTGCTAAATAATCTATTATTATAGAAACTTCTAAAGAAAACAAAAATAAAACTTTTTGATATATGCATCGTCAGTACCTGTCTTAGTGAAGATCTCGTCATAAGCTATAAATTATTTTTACCACCCTTATTAACCATCTGTTCGCTAGAAGCCAAGAGTCAAGCAAGTGAGTACGTCGCACAGTGGTCTGAAACTGAAATGGTATGTTCATAATCGGCTACAGGACACAGATATGACCGATTTGATGTGCTATAGACCGAAATTTGTCGAGCCCAATTTTTGAATTTGTATTTGTTTGTATTAAATTTGTTAAAGCAAAGTACAGAGAAATTAGCAATTTTAAAGAAATCTCCTGTTCCCATTAATGAATGTTACATAATAAAAACTTGTTGAAAACAATTATACAGTTTCCTTAAGCGGACCGTTAAAAAACGCTGCCGCATCATTTATAATGGATTTTAGAACACTTGCCAATAGTATTGTACCTTCGTTGCCTTCCAACCACTTACTAACAGTACTGCAGAGAATTTCAAAGCTTCGCCTATTCTGCTTGATATAAAGCATTTAAGACCTTTCTAGTGTTAACTAGATGTGGTTACATAACAGCAAATTTATATTTATTATTGTACGAATTTCCTTAATCGCCACACAGTGCACGTAGACGTACCATTGAAAGCTCCATCTGTTCTAACAACCCACCTCCAATGAACACAAAAAAAATTGAAGATATGAAAAAGAGAACCAAAACAGGCGCCCACACAATAACTGACCATACAGGTGATGACTGTGGCAAAACATATTTTGATATATACATATGTACCTAAAGTTGTATGTATGCACATTTGAATGTCTCTTGATACTAGGCAACCAACCGAGAACAAGAACCATCACGAGCTACATTGTATGTATTTATGTTTGTAGGTGGCAACACACAATGAATGGACTGCCTGCCACATAGTGTAACTGCCGCGATTGCCGCTGCTAGTGACCACATTCGCGTACGCAAAAGCCAACTTGTTTGCCTTAAGGCGATGCTAATGGTCGACACAAATGCGAGGCAGGCAAGCAGAGTGCGGCCGGAGGCATCTGGGCGTATGAGCAACCGTAAGTTTGTGTGCAGAGGTGACGGACGGATAGCAGCGGTCGGTGGTGAAAAATTATTGCATTCAGGCATTGAATTGATAAGTTAAAAATAGCTAAGGATGGCGCAAGGTAGAAACAGGTGTGCATTTATGCGCAGGTGACGGTGGTTACACGGTTTGTTAGGCTGAAAGGTTACCTGCTTTTGCTCAGGCCTGAACTCTACGCGGGTGGGGTTTAGTACCGCTCACAACTATTTCGGGCTATTCCGTCCAAATGGGTGGCCCGATCAAAAAATAAAATTCACACACTTGTAGTCAAGGGTCCACGCAATATTTTAACACTCACTTTTGTAAATTTTGGTTACTAATTTATTTACAAATTGGGTTTAAAATATGCCCTTTTTTGTAAAATTCGGAAATTAGCGTACATTTATCACTCCTATTCTGCTTAAATTAGCCACTTCACCAATATATTTTTGTATTCCCCTTCACTTTACACTTTACTTGATTTGTTATAACTTGCTTTACGACTTTAATATTAACCAATTCATCACAATTCATTAAATAAAAACACCTTCAAAATCACGCGTTTGACTTTGGTTGCATATGCAAATTAAATGGCGGAGTTCAGCTGTCAAACTCCAAAATATGCAAAAGAATGAGAGACAAAAGAAGATAGGATATAACCCAGTAAGCATTAAAAATATACAAAGGTGTTCTCTGCAAAAGGTGTTCAGCTCCTTTTCTTCGCAAAACAGAAAGGAGAATTCTACTGCGTGAGGGTTATAATCCCTAAGTGCGGCCGAAGGCCGCCTAGGCAGAAAGGTGTTCTCTGCAAAAGGGGTTCAGCCCCCCTTCTTTGGCAACACAGAAAGGAGAATTCTACTGCCTGAGGGTTATAATCCCTAAGTGCGGCCTTCGGCCGCACT